ATGAGAATGTATTAACAAATTAGCAAAAGCACACTTCTGTTTTGCTAAGAAAGTGACAATGAAGATTAAGTCGATCCTGTTTCGTTAAATGTGTTTAAGCAACAAGAAAAAAGTGTAATATTATTTGTATTTGTTCTAATACAAAAATGCATCCTGCTTAGATAAATAACTTTTAACATATAGTTTTTCACACATGCCTAAGACTTTTGCACAGTGCTGTATGTGGTTATGGAAGTGAGGAACTGAATTGTGTGGCCCACCAACAAGGCCTTTAAGCTTTAAGGGGCTAAATATGGATTAAACCAAATCATTATGTTTCAAAGTCAAGTCTGAGATGGAAAGATATATAACTGAATACTTTGATGGCTAATCTTGGGCTGTGTGTTTTATTTAATGAAGGAATAAAAAAACATGAAACTGAGCTGTGAGGAGCTGAAAGCTGTTGGTCTTCCTCACTTAATGCCTGGCCATTGGCACTGTGTGTTGAACACATGAGGTCAAAAGGTCACAGACAGAACTCTTTAGTGCTATCACTGTTGTACAATAGTCGAATTAAATGCTTGCCACACTCTGCCACTGTATGAAAAGCTGTGTATATGCTGTAGCAGTTCAGTCTTACTGCAGAGCCTGTGCATGCCTGATGCTCTTATCTCAGGCTAGGCACAGACAGGGACAGAGAGAGAGAGAGAAAGAGACAGAGAGAGAGAGAGAGAGACAGAGAGAGAGAGAGAGAGAGAGTGAGAGAGAGACTGAGAAAAAGCACCAGGGTGAATTTAATAAATTAAATCTAATATAGGCGCTGGGCTGGTCTCCTAGCAACGCGGCAGAGCTCGGTGTGCTGAGGGCTGTGTGTAGACTTCCCCTGGCCTGATGTGGAGACGACCCATAATGCTCTGGTCCTCCCTCACGACCCCGTCGCCTTCGCATTCCGCACCCTCGCTGCAGCTCAGACTGTAATCTGTTACAACCACCAACTCCTGATTACAGCCAAATACGCTACAATAGAGCATATCCGTGAGCTGGGATGTGTTAAGGGCACTGGGCTCTTTGTGATACGGGTTTCAGAGAGCTTTGCAAAGAAAGGAAGGTTAAAGCTGTGGTTTTTGTCAAGGCTTTGGTGATACAAAACTGAGATTCAGAGCACAGACGTGAGGGAACCTGATAGAAGAACTCACTGCACATGGGGTATACACTCACACACGGACACTTCACTGTCCACACAACTGTCTACACACACCCACACACACACCATCTCACGTCAAGCAGAGGTGGCAGTCTGCTCTTTGGTGGAGAGTGCTCTCTGAAACACTCTGCGTCTAAAACTGTCCGCAGTCTGACGTCCTCACATTCCGCTCCATCTAAACCGGGCCAGGATTTTTACACTCTGCCACACTCCTCTGGCCATTCCCAGCCCACTAATTCCCTCTCTACACTTTCCCCATTCCAATACAAGATAGCACTTTCTAATCCATGGTAGGGAATGTCAGTATTAGCATATATACACTTTAACAATACAAGTAAATAAAAGAAGATAACATAATTAAAAAGTAAGATGCAAATGAAAATATTGAGATTCCAATGTACATGTTGCCATCATATTAAAATCACTCAAATCACTTACTTTGCGTTTAACGTAAAGTACTGTGCATAAGTCAGAGATCTCCCTTCATTTATTTCATTTCCAGTGAAAATGGCTGTTATGCAAGTTATTTATTTTCAGTGTCATAAAAAACAGGAGACCTATACTTAATAGAAAATTATACAGAAGCCTGGAACACTAAATATAACATAAGAATAGCATTTAATTTGCCCATCTTCACTTTTGTGTGTCCTACTGACACTTTTAAGCCTTCCATTCTTCCGATCTTAACATCAACCAGTTACAGCTGGGTCCTCCCAACAAAAGCGGTTCCTAAAGAACTCACTGACGTTATATTCTCCTTCAATCAGACACTAACATTCATACAAGCAACTACCCAAACACACCTTAACTGCCCTGCAGATTTCATCTATGTGCATCTAAAATGACTAAAGGGGATATTTCTGAGGAGAACAAGCTGGAACCTGCTAGACCACCAAAACTGTCACAATCAGAGTATTGAAACTTTCATGTTTGAGAGAAAATCAAGCTTCACTCTCACTCCAGATCTGAAAAAATCCACCAGTGTTTCTGTCCATCCTTCCACTGTGAGAAGACAACTCAATGCTGAAAGGATGTGCAGCTGTCAAAAAACCTTAAAGAAATAGAAAAATAAGATCTGAGATGGGGAGTAAGGTTTTATGAAGTGTTGAGTCCACATTTGTAAATGGGATTATTTGGATCACAAGAAACAGAAAATACAACCAACTTTTAAGACTGAACTTAGGAAATGTGGAAAAATAGCCCTGCAGATTTCTTTGAAAGGCAAGTCACCCAAAAAGAATGGAAGGTGTAATAAAGGTGTAATAAAGTTTTCTGCTTTTTTTCCTTGGCACTCAAAAATGAATAATGTTTTAACAGGAAATTAAATAAAGGAAGGCTGTTCTCTGATTTTGCACAGTACTGTATATTCAACTAAACATCCATTAAATTTACTCAACTTTCCCTAACCCTGGTCCAAATCCTAACCTTAACCTTAAAACCGAAACCTAACACTGTTGCTGAGAATTGTTAAAAATTTAAACATCTATAGATAATCTATAGAAGGCTATCCAAATAAAGTGGTGCTAAATGTTATAATAAAATGGATGAGCAGATATACCAAAGTACCTGGGTAGTGCAAAGGGTAAAGCAACTATGCAGATCTGCACAAGCAGTGAAAAAGACCAGTGAACCTCTGCACATAGTAATATGTAATGATGCAAGACTACATAGTTAAAAAACATGTATACAGAAATATGCAGAAACGTTCTGCAGCTAATAAGAAACTGTTCAGCAAAGCATATCCAGAAGCATGTCTGCTCCAACAATATAAGATATGGATCTGTTGAAATACATTCTAAAAGTACATATTCCGTCCATCTGAGTCCAGTCTGACAGACTCCTCTAACTGTGTGTGTGTAAGAGAGAGAATGCAGTTTCTCTTACGCTGCAGTCATTAATGAGACGCTTTCCCACATAGTGCTGCTGCATCACAATAGGAACAGAACTCCAGCATCAGCCATCGTCCGTCACCACTGGCTTTCTCATGTCTGACCACTCCCATTAGGACAGGAGAAAACATGGCTGCTGTGCAGTTAGGCTGTGTTCCAATTAGCAGCTGACTGTGTAACTTACGGTGAGCTGTGAGGTATATAGTCGTATACAAAATTTGGGAACTGGGAAAAAAAAAAAACAGAAAATGTGGCCAGTGCAAAAGTAATAGCATATTTTATGTCTTATGTTTTATTTTTGTTCAATATGTTAAACTCAGCAAATAAATAAAAATTGTGTGCTACAATTTGCAGGAAAACGCCATATTTAAGTATGAATTCTGTAGAGGATGTGTTAACTTATGTTCACTTAGAAAATCAACAAAACATGAAACTTGAAAGTGGGTGTTCAGATTTTTCATACTACTGTATATCCATCATGCAGTCTTTTTACATAGTGATTCAAAATTGGGAATTTGTAAAATATAAATTAAAGCACAAACATGGTCTATATTTGTATACATTTATTTCTGGAAGCCTGTAGTGTCCAGAGGTAAAGCCATGCTTGCAATGAAGTATGGAAGTGTGTAAGGATATCAAGGCTAACTACATAATAAAAATAAAATACATTACTGTGTAAAAGTCTTAAAACATTTTAAACTATTTATCTCTGCAGAAAGTTTTTTGCCTGTAAAGACACTATATAACATAAGAATAATTACAAATACACATAAAACAGTGTTTTTGAAATATTATTTATATATTCAATGTAATTATATATGCAATATAATTATTTAATTATTTAATTAATTATGGCCTGATTAGCTGCAGCACGTACTGGATGGTAAGTGTACATACTGGACTTAAGCTAACACACATATAAAACACAATGTACTATTCTAGTATTAGTGTTTTTGAACAAATACATGCTGTGTTTACATTTTCTCAGATGCACAGTACTGTATATATATTTTCAAAGCCAGTCAGAGATGAAAATCTATACAACTGTATGTGCAATTACATTCTCCTAATCTTGCAAATGAATCAAATCACATAGTGCAGCTATGTACTTTTTTCTGTTTTTTTTTTATTTTTTTTTATTTTACACACTATATGCTTTTTTGGATGTATCTGTGCAGGGAGTCATACTGATGTAACAGACATGATCATGACTCAACACTGCTCTTAGCTTAACTGTCTGCTCTCCCTGTGCAGCAAGCAATATGCATGCAATGTCTACTTGTGCCCTCTTGTGGCTATGAAGGAGAGCATATGATTTTTCACACTTCCTGGCTTACACTCATCTCTCTCCATCATGAGTGTTGGTCTTCAGAGAAATTGAAGCAATAAACGGTGAAAATACTCTTCCTTTGCATTTCAAGTCTCAATTCTGCTCTTTTTACTCACTGCTTAAGCAATAAGTCAGACAGTTCTTAACTTAACAGAACTCCAACACTTCAACTTTGCTCTTGACAGTTATTAAGCTTGCTTTATGTATTGCAGTACTTGATCTATGACCTGAATATGCCCAGCACTCTGCCAGCTGTATTCACCAGTCACACTGTATGCACGACAACAGACTGGGCTAAATGACTCATTAGGAAAAGAATGTTGAGGTGGCCGGGAGCCATTTTCATAAACATGGCTGAGTAGGAGGAGCACTGCTTGTGCCTTCCAAAGATCAATCTGATCTCAGACAAAGATTGTGACGCTAAGATAAGTCTACACAGGCCCTGAACTCCCCTGAGCCTTGCTGTCAGCATGGGCCGACCGGTCTGCTGTACAAAGACAAGAGGAGAAACAATGATATACTAATCACTAAAGAAATAATAACACTGCTCTACACTCATGTTTTCATGAAGAAAAAAAATCTCAAGTGAACCCATGAATTATCTCAGAAGATTTTATTCTTTTATAACAAGATTGTCCATTTCACTTTATTGGGAATTTGTCACAGTAATTAATAATTGCACTCTCACTCAGACTCCAACTGGACAGGCAGACAACCTAATTATAGTTAGTCACGTACTTAATAGATTTAATACATAAAAATAAATCTTTCATTATAGTGGTTCACAAAATACAAACATTGTTGAATTTAGAATTCTAGAATAAATGTATCCTCTGGAATCCATCCCTTGCCATTTCAGCATTGCAAAAATGCCCAACCTCAGTTGTGCGTACCAAACATAAAATAGTACACATAAATTGCACAAAGAAAAGCGCAAAGCATGCATGTTTACTGTCACTTCACCCAGCCTCCTTTGAAGAAAACTGCTTCAGAGTTGCACCAGTTATGTCATTTATGAGGTAGAAGAAAAACAAAATATCTTAAATATTACAGCTCATGAAATGTCTAATTTGGACCAGGTTACCTGGTTACCAATCATCATCTGGATACATCTGTTCCTTCTTTAGTTTAGACACTGCTGAAATCAACCTAATAAGATATTGTGATTATGTAAGCAAGATTTAAAAAGTTCAAGAGAATGTCATTTATTTACTTATGTATTTGTTCATTTTTTTCTTTTTTAAACAATAAAAGTATGTACTTTTGCAGCTGTACTCCATTGCTCCCACTAGCCTGCCTTGATATGAATTAATTTTAGCAATTAAAACACACAATTTTGTGCTATTTTTAAATGTTTATCTTGGCCGTAGGCAGCATAGTACAGTACATGTCCAAGAGAATAATTATTGCACTACTGCTGGCCAGTGCTGGCCAGTGACTTTCAAACATATGGACAAAAAAAAGTTATTCTCATGTTGTAATTCTGTCACAGTTGGGTGAGAATATGAAAAATGAAGTGACACACTAATCACTCTGTATGGGAATATTTTAGAAGGTCAGTATGGGTCACATTAAGCTTGACTTTGATTTCAAATTTCTTCAGACATTCAGTGAGTTCCTCCGTGTGTTCATGTTTTTAAAAATGAATGTGTTTTATATATATATATATATATATATATATATATATATATATATATATATATATATATATGTCACATGCAGTCAACTGTAGCCTCTTGCTCTCATTCTTGCTCATATAGCTTGTTCTTGTTACAGTGGAGGCTCTTGAGAGGAACTGGAGCTTTCCACCTTGCTATTGCTTTTGTTAGTTTGCTGCTCAGTGATTTATCCATAGGTCTCCTGTGAGCACAGTCTGCATAGTCTTCTGAAAATGCTTAAGATCTTGCTCTAAAAGCCATTTCAAACCTGTATTTGATCAATAGGGCTACAATAGCACAATCTTTCAATGCAATATACAGTGTATGAGCAGCTGGGCTTCAGCTTGCACTGCTATGGAAGAATCAAACTAGGAAAACGCATTAACAGCATTCAAAAATTAATGGCGTTTTGCAGTAATTGTATTAATCAATGCATTAACTTTGACAGCCCTAATACTTATATTAATAAATATCTCCATATTTTCCAGTTATCAGAAAGCCCAGAGTATCCAGAGGTATAAATCAAGAAATGAAGGACACATTGAAGAGGCAGTACAGCACTGTGGTATGCAAGTATAAAGGCACTCTTACTGGCTCTTTTGACTTGAGCTAGTCTGAAGATCACATCTCTATACAAGGCTGTACCGAGACTGGATAAACAAGATGAACTATACAGGCCCTGCAAGTCTTCGTCTTCGCGCTTCAACTCACTGTTTCACAGACATGCAGCACCCTGTGGTTGAAGTCCTCTGGCTGGTCAGCATACACATAGTGTCCTGCTCCTCTTATGGCCTAGAGACCAGACAGACACACAGAGAAAGAGAGGAGTCCAGGGTAAATGAGACCATACAATCAGGCTATAGATCCATATATATTTTAAGTGTTTTGTTTCTGTAACTTTTTCCTCTGTATTGCTATTTACTTGCTCTATCTGTGTTTTCCAATAATCTTGCTATTTTAGAAATACGGAAACAGAGGAAGTGGCCTATTGACTGTTTGCCTTTGGTTTCTAAATCTAGCTGAACAATCTATAAGTACTTCTGTAAAAAGTCTTGTGTTAGGTTTCATTTGTGTAATGATTATCCAAAAAAACACAGACTGCGTGGGGATATATTTTTGAATTTGATTTTCCAACTATACTTAAAACCCAAAATAGCACTGCTTGAAGTACAAATGGACACTGTATTCACTGTCTATGTTTGTGATCATACAAACTCTAACAGGAATGATTTTAAAGCTTAAAACTTGTTTGTTGTATTACTTAGATTTACCGTCGGTCTAAATACTATCCTGTTGGAAATCTTAACTGCTGCAAATTCTGACCAAACTATAATTATTTACTTTGTTACATCACAGCTTCTGTAAAAACTTATTATATATCTAAAGCTAACAACAAACCTTTGTTTCAGGACAACAGCTCCAAACAAACTCTTATCTGAATAAACTGCAGTATGAGCGGTGTAAGAGAAGAGCAGAACGAAGAACTCACTATGATCTCCACATGGGAGTTTGGCCTCATTTCTTTGATTGAATTGCCAGAGTGGCCGTCTATGCTGGAGCGCGACCCATAGATCACGGTAATGGGGATGTCACTGTGAATCAGGCCAGTGCGCTGCAACATGGGCCGTTTGGCCCAGCCATATGGAATGGTCATGTTTTTGAAGGCGGTTTCACCACTACAAATAAAAACACAGTTATTAGGAGCTTATGAGTGCAAGCATGTCAGAAACAGTACAAGTAGTAGAAATACGAAAACACACAGTGATGGTTTTATTCAGACAGCAACAGAAGCTAACCAGCGACATCACAGGGGAAAACAAGTAAAAGAAAAAAAATGATATACACCTTGGGCTTTGGACATTAAGGTGGTAGATGTACTCTGTGACCGTGTTGTCATTAAACATAGTAGCAAATTTCTTCTTAAAGTCTGGTCTCAGAGTCTGCACCAGAAGAGGGCCTAAATGGTGACAAAAAGGCATCCCATAAAATAGCACAACTTACAGAAACACTCAAAATAAATCTACAGCAGGTAAAGAGTGACAGACAGAATCTATGCAGTAGTTAATAAATGAGACATAAAACCATCAGCAGCATTCACCAATCAGACTCCAGGCTTCTTGGTAAATGACAATAGAGATTTAGCACTGAACAGCAAGACCAGGACAAGGTGTACATTTCTCCAGAAGATCTAGTTCTGTTAAAACCTCTGTCTGGGATTTCAAAACAACAAAAAGACAGTCCCAAAACTGTATCTCCTAAGCACAAAGGTTTCAGTATTATGTTCAAGGATGTAATGTGAATTTTTTGTGGAAGATACTGATACTGATTTAAAAGGGAGAAAGTGTAATAATATCAATATAATTTCATTATATTGCAATGTTGAAAAACTGCAGCATGACAAATTAGGACATGTTAAAAGTTAGACCACTGTGGTCTTAATTCAGCGGCCTGGTTTTTCACCCTATGATAAGAGCGCAGCTGTTGATGGTGAATTTTCATTCAAAATGTGTTCAACTCAGGTTTATGCACCATCTAGTTCTGATATAAGAGTCTTAAAGGCATCCTACCAAGTGGTCCTGCCAGTCGAAGCCCAGCCAGAGGGTTGAAGGGGCTGAGCATGGCCCCAAGGGCTTTGATCCACACAGGAATCGGTCTGTCCTGGTCCCCTGGCTCTGGTCGCTCCGGAAAACCCCACGGCTCCACCAGGATCAGATGCTTCACTCTGTAGTACATCAGCAAAGAAGACAGAACTGAAATTTACTTCACTGTCTCACTATTTCACCAACCATCAAAGAAACAAATGCAACAAGTTTAGTCTATCCCTGGAATTACTCAAACTGTACACGGATGAATTGTAGCATAAAGATAATCATACAATCTTGCCAAATACAGTATCTCTGAATATATTTAAGGTTGCTACTTAAATTCGGATTCAGCGCTCCCTCTTAAAATGCTTAAATGATTTTATAAACAAAAACTGTATTAGCACACCCCTAATAAACCTGGTATAATCACAACAAATAGAGAAGTAAGTAATGAAAAGAAAACAGAGAAACAGCAACAACACAGGAAAAGCAGACTGGTTCAAGTCTGGTCCATGGTTATGTACATGTTACCAGTACCTGAGGTGAGATTGTCTGATATGTGAGTGTGGAATATCATCCATGAGATGTTTATCAAAAATGCCCAAGGAAAGAAAAAGTTAAAAACAAAGATGAATTTACAGAGGAGAACAACCTTTCAAAGACAAACAACTAATGCTGCTTCAAGATTAAAATCTTTATGCCTTAATTCTACGCAAAGCATCCCAGCAGGGGCATAATGTGAAAAGCAGAACAGTAGCAGACACACAACACAACTTTCAGTATTAATTTAAGGCAGATTAAAGAATGAAATTTCCCAAAATGTATAGATTTTTCCAGAATATACAGGAAACCTATATTTGCCACACAAAGCATGACAGTATTAAGACTACCTTAAAGGAGCATTCCATCATTTATCGTCTTAATCTGCTGCATCTGCTAGGTACACTATATAGACAATAGTGGACACCGGATCATTACATCTATATGAACTTGTTGGACACTCCATTCCAAAACAATGAGCATTAATATGGATCCTCCCACCCAGCGAGGTCAGGCACTAATGTTGGATGAGAAGGCCTGGTTCGCAACTGACATTCCAATTCATCCCAAATTTGTTCAGTGGGGTTGAAGTCAGGGCTCTGTTCACGCCACTGGAGTTCCACCTAGGTCTGTACCATTAAAACTCAAATAGTGAAGCGTGATTCATCACTCCAGAGAACTCAATTCTACTCCTCCTGAGTCCAGTGGTGGCGTACTGTACACCACTCAAGCCGACACCAGCTTGGCATCACACATAGTGATTTTAGGCTTGTGTGCAGCTGCTTGACCATGGAAAACCATTTCAAGAAGCTCCTGACATGCAGTGCTTGTGCTGATGTTGCTTCCAGAGGCAGCCTGGAACTCTGTATTGAGTGATGCAACAGTGGGCAGGCAATTTTTATGTGATATGCACTTCAGCGCTCGGCAGACCCGCTCTATGGGTTTGTGTGGTCTACTGCTTTGTGGTTGGGCTGTTATTTCCTAGATACATCCACTTCACAATAATAGCACTTATAGTTTACTAGGGCAGATCCAGCATGGCAGAAATTTCATGAACTGACTTGTGGCAAAGGTGCCACCCTATGACAGTGCCACGTTTAAAGTTACTGAGCTCATCAGTATGACTCATTCCTTTGCCAACGTTTGTCTATGGAGATTGCAGGGCTAAGTGCTTGATTTTATACACCTGTAAGCAATAGGTGTGGCTGAAACACCTGAACTTAATAATTAAAAGGGCTGTTTACATATTTTTGCACACAAATGTTTCACATTATTTTTGTTATTCACAGAATTGCCCAACAGCTTCTATTTAAAGTGAGTCTTTATTTAAGCAGAGCTAGGTATTGTTGATTTTTTTTCATATCAACAACAATACCATATATGTGTATATATTATACCACAAAATGTGCCTTGATGTGACCGCAATGTATGCCCAAAATGCAACTGAATTCAAGATTAGATTTACTAGGATTGCAGATTACCATGTAGCTCTGCCCACTAACTGCTTGCTCGTGAGGCTCAGGCTTTCCTTTGATTAATACCATATTGTTGTTAATAAATGAAGTCCTTTCTCACCAAAACATTCTTACTCCAGCTAAAAGTGCATGTTTAAGCTCGTGCACCAGTTTTGTACATACCATGTGGATAGAATGTGTATGATTTGTGCCAGAAACTGATGCAAAAGGTGTATTAAATCTCTATATTTGTAGTAAAAAATCAGTTTTTCAGAAAGAAAAGACATGACACAAACTCTTCTATTAGTTTTAGTACGTTTAAAAAAAATTTGCTCCCAAAATTCCAGTCACACCTAGCATTCTCGGATTTTGAAAACTATGTAGTGGGGGGTGTTCAGAGATACTGCCGCTATTTGTGCTTGTATTTGTTAAACAGACTGCTGATGTTAACAGTCTAGATTACGGAACAAGCATGCATATTGGTTCACTGACTCTGACAAAACAGACTACTTAGGTACTGAAGTTTGGTACTGACTGACAGAATTTTTAATATTTGGTGGTGCTTATGAAGTTCAGTCAGTAAGTGCTGAAATTATTGTCTGGTAATAATAAAACAATACAGATACAATGATGGAGTATTTCTTTAACTGTTAGATTGTTAGATTGTTGTTGTTGAGTACTGTTTGAGTACTATTATCATCTTTTGATAATGGACAATAAGGAAAATACGAAAACAATATGTAAGATGACACCAACTGAGGTTAATACACATTGACACAATGAAACTGAATCCTTAGAAAGCTTAAACTGCTAACCTGGAAGGGTATTTAAGTGAATAGGCTGCTGCCAGGTATCCTCCCAAGTTGTGACCCAGCATGATCATGGTCTCCAAGCCAAGTTTTACCCTCCACTCCTCTATGGACTCCACAAACTGTAGCTCAGCCTCCTGGGCGTCTGTGCTGAAATGAGGCCTGCTGCTCTGTCCAAAGCCCAGCAGGTCGAAGGCATATACTGGCCTCTGCTGGGACAGAGCGTCTAGGTTTTGGGCCCAGAGACCCACTCCTCCGCCAAAGCCATGCAGCAGCACCAGAGGTGTCATACTCTCCACGCCGCCGAACACCAGTGTCCACAGCTTGTTGTCATTGGATATGTGGACAAATTGCTTGGAAAACTTGCTTTTGAGGGCTAAAGACAGTGACAGTCAAAGAAAGGGGATTTTTACATTGTTTGTTTTAGAAGACAGCAGTGGCCTATATTTTGTCTAGCTTAATTAGTTATGTGCACCCGGTACATATAAATAAAGGAGCTACTTGTAGCTGGACTACTACTTCTAGAGTCTGCCATTGCTGAATGATAGCATAAGTGCATTTATAATGTGGGTTTAGGCTTTAACTGAACTATTGTCTTGGGCTAATGTCGACTGACCAGCTTACATATCAATCACAGCTCTTTTCTCTATAGCAAACATTACTATGTTTACTCACTCAATTAGTTACATCTTTAATGTTGCTTTTATTTGGTACCTAATGAATTATTTAGTAGTTAGTTAATATGTTTGTCACCTACGTTATTTTGACAGTTTATGGCTAATGTGTAGTTGTGCAGGTAACTCAAGAAAAATGTAGGCTCAAAGATATAACTGCAAATGTCTGCTCAGCTCAGTAACTACCAATCTAGGCTATTATTCTGATATGATAGAAGGTTAAGAAGAGTCTGGCTAGTACTCACGCTGAAGCATTCTCTCCTCTACCTCCTTCAGTTTGCACTGAGATGAGGGGCACCAAGATGGCAGCCAGCTGGTGATCCACCATGACCTGTAAGATTTTTTAAAATGATCTTTTCATTCTTATATCTTTTTAACATTTTGTGATTTTCGGATGTTGTGAAAGACTAGTGATTTTAGCAATGTTAAGGAATTATGGTTTAGTAAAGGTTAAAGTTTAGTAAGTTAAAGTTTTACATAAGCTGCAGTTGTAAGAAGAAATTTGTGATCTCTGCAATTACTGAACAAATGGCTTCTAATGCAATCTGATCTTCACTAAATTCCTAATAATAGCTAAAATAAAAGTAGATTTGTTTTACAAACAACACGTAACAATTTACAGTTACTGATCAGGCGGCATTAACAATTAAGTTCACTGATGGAAAAAATGTCTGTGAACCCTTATATTTATTACTAGAACTTTCTTTATTGCAACAACCTGAAGACTTCCCAAAGCTGCAAAAGGTCCAACTTTCTCATCCATTAATGTATTATTCTAATTTGGATGAAGATCAGATCACATTTTAGAGCCATTACAAAAGGTTGACAAACTTTCTCATAATTGCATGACCATGTACAAAAAGGAAGACACAAAAACAAAACATCCAACCAACTAAGAAGCAATGGCATTAGGTCAAGCTCATGGCATGACAGTGAGACATCAACCAGCCTGGAGAGGTGTTAGCGCTAAAGGCCTGACCCACTGAGAAGCACTGACAGGACTGAACACAGGCAGCAAGGCCACCAAGCAACAGGTTTAGCATACAAAGGTGATGCAAAGCACATGTTAACATTTCACCAGTGGAACAAACAATTTACCTCATGGCTGTGTCCAGGAATTTGAAAAAACCGTAGAAGAGACTATGAATACGAAGAAACACCAGAACACGCTGTGCCAGTCTGAAGCCAAGAGAATGTGAGGATTTTAGCTCTGCGCTGTTAATGATTTAATAGAAATTAGTTTGCATTATTCTCATTTCATCTTATCAGTGAAGTTATTTGCATATTCTTTCACCTTTTCTAAAGGACAGGGTGACTAACAGAAGAACAAAATAATTAATAACAAACAGGGGTGGAAAATACTTCAGTAATCGTACTTCATCACTATACTTGAGTATTATTTTGGAGGATTTGTACTTTACATGACTATTATTAAAACTGAATACAGGTACTTTTTCTCATTTACATTTTCAAGAGAAAATACACATTTTTTACTCATTTTCATTTAGACCTTCAGAGTACATGTCACAAATCTTAAACATCAGACATTTGAGCTTATTTTTTAATAACAAAATTTAACCAAATTTGTATCACTGTGAAATGATACTGCTCACAACTATGCTAATTTGACATTAAGGACTGATTTATTTTATACATTGATATACTTGTTTAAATGTAGATACTTACTTAACTTACTTACTTAAATAATTTTAGCCACACACTTCCCCTTTTACTGAGTAACCTTTTTACACAACACATTACTTTCACTGAGTTTCTTTTTCCACCTCTGCTGATAAACTGTTAGCTACGGCTAGGAAAGCAAGCTAAACAAATGACACAGCAGGTCTGGTAGTGAATAAACTTTCCTAAAGCGCTCCCTGACCAAACGTCCCAAACACTGTCATGTAGCTGCTGCTGTTCCGTTTCCATCACTGACTGACTGACTGACTGACTGACTGTTACACCAATAACAAACAAGACAAACAGTTCAGAGCCACTCTGACTTCTGTAGCTGTAACAACACGCGCCAGACTGCGGTCAGCCACACTAACAGTAGTTCAGCTGTGCTCTGAAGACTCGTCCTAAACGTGTCTTCATGCTGAGTGTATTTACGGCTCTCTCTGCTCTCTCTCTCTTTCTTACCCTGGATCCGAAGACACCGCTCGTTCCGCCATGTTACGGGCATCACGTCACACGTGACGTCACTGCGAACTTTGGTCCAGAGGCGAGCTGAGGAAAAAAAGATAAACAAAAGCGCGCGCGCACACACACACACACACACACACCCACACACAAACACACACACAAAAACACACACACAAAACACTCACACATACACACACACACACAAAAAAACACACACAAAAACACACACACAAACACAAAAACACACACAAAAAACACACACACACACAAAAACACACACACACACATAAAAAAACACACACACACACATACACAAACACACACACAAACACAAAAACACACACACACACAAAACACACAAACACAAAAACACATACACATAAAAACACAAACACAAAAAACACACACAAACACACACACAAAAACACACACATACACACCCAAAAACACACACACAAAAAACACACACACACACACACACACTCACACATACACACACACACAAAAACACACACATACACACCCAAAAACACACACACAAACACAAAAACACACACAAAAAACACACACACACACAAAAACACACACACACACACACATAAAAAAACACACACACACACATACACAAACACACACACACACAAAAACACAAAAACACATACACATAAAAACACACAAACACAAAAAACACACAAAAAACACACACAAACACACACACACACACACACAAACACAAAAACACATACACATAAAAACACACAAACACAAAAAACACACACAAACACACACACACACACACACACAAACACAAAAACACATACACATAAAAACACACAAACACAAAAAACACACAAAAAACACACACACACGCACACAAAAACACACACATACACACCCAAAAACACACACACAAACACAAAAACACACACAAAACACACACACACACACAAAAACACACACACACACACAAAAACACACAAACACAAAAACACATACACATAAAAACACACAAACACAAAAAACACACACAAACACACACACACACACAAAAACACACACACACCCAAAAACACACACACAAACACAAAAAACACACACACACACAAACACACAAAAACACAAAAACACACACACAAAAACACACACATACACACACAAAAACACACACACAAACACAAAAACACACACACACACACACACAAAAACACACACATACTCACACACAAACACACACACACGTAAAAACACACACACACACACAAAAACACACACACAAAAAAACACACACATACACACTCACACACAAACACACACAAACACACACACACAAAAACAGACACACACACACACAAACACAAAAACACACACACACAAACACACACACACACAAACACAAAACACACACACACACACACACACACAAAAACACACACACACATACACACTCACACACAAACACACACAAAACACACACACACAAAAACACACACACAAAAACACACACAAACACAAAAACACCTGTACATTCGTCTGTTTTTCATTTTAAATCCTAGAAAAGCTAACTTATAACACACCCCTGAAAGCAACCACTATAGTGTTAAATGAAAACGATGCTTATATCGCCTCTTTATTTTACTGTCTGACTTCATAACATGCTGGAATACAAAGTTTCTCAGTCAAACTTAAGTTATTATTTTTCCCCTGAGGGTCTCGTTTGTGTTTATGCACAAAAAACGGCCGCTTTTTACATGGTCATTTTCTAATCTCTCCTTATCTCTTATAATTAAACAGTAGGTTTCTGTTACTGTGCTTTTAAAACTGATATATGTAAATGACCTCTGTTCCGATTGGCCGTCCTCATTGAACTTTGCAATCTGCGCCTAACTTCAGTTGGAATGGGCGGGGCAACATGCTTCAGGCTGAATATGCAGCAATGTTTAAATAAAGGTTTTTTCACTTCACAAGAGCCCTGAATTAAAAACAGCTTGTTTTGTGTGGCGGGGTGTCCATGTATGGACTGTGTGGACATTAAACTCTTTATTTCAGAAAAGTGAGGAGTAAAACGGTTAACCATGATAAGGGTCCCTTTAAATTGTCCATCTGGGAACTACCCCATCAGCTTCGCGGTGTGACTGCTGTGTAGATCATTGGTGAGAGTTCTGTTCCTCATTGTAGGGTGTCGCCTAAGGGTCTGTTGAGTGTGTGTGTGTGTGTGAAGTTGGTGAACAAGCCCTGAACTTCATCTGTCGTGTCGATGACGTGGAGAAGCTAAAGTCAGGCTAACCTGCAGCAGTTTTCCGCTGTGGACACACAGAGAAAGAAATAAAGTGTGTGGCGTCAGTGTCGCTGTGCTGTTTTATAGCTCTGATAATAAATGTCACTGTGTGGAGAATAAGGAGGGGTGGAGACAGTAATTACCCCGAAGTGCTGCGGTGCATCCGGACAACACTGTAAGTAGCTAGCAAGCTAGGCTAGCTAGGTTAGCATGTTGTACATACTTTTAGGTTTGGCTCTTTTTCCTCTCTATATCGCTATGGTTAAGGTACCTAGTTCTTGTATAACGCATGATTAGCTATGTTATACGTCTCAGCTGTGCTGACAGAGCGATAGCAAAGCAAATCTCGGGCCGGCTGTCTGCGTCTTCTTGTCCCCACCCTGTCATACCTGCATCGAGAAAACTGATTTATGCACATTTCAGGCCGAAAAACCCTTTCGGAAAACCATATATGGTGAACGTACTGTAGTGATATGTGTCTGCTACGCTGAGCTGCTGCACTTAGCTTTACGAATGCTGCTCCCAACTTTGTCACTGGCGTTAACGTAGCTAGTTAACCTAACTAGTAGCTCCTCTACACCACGGTAAAGTTAGTTTTGTTTTCGATATTCGTCTTTTCGGCGCTAATACCATTTGATCGGACTACGGTAGTCAGTTAAGACTTACATATTCATGACAGTACGACCACAGAGAGTGATGCACACCTGTTCTTCTGCAGTTTGGGTGACATTTAACGTACCGCTATTTTGTGTTAATACCATAGAACTGAGACACGTTTTTCAGTCGGAAGAAAAATCATGCACTTCTAGACCAAGCCTACATCCATGCACACGCCTCTGTTTTCCTCCAAAGCGTTTCAGTGCATTTAAATACATATTTTAATTGTTCGTGCTAACAGTAGACACCGTCAGACAATAAAACATCAATAGCTCCATAAACACTGTGTCCATGCACATCTGATTAATTGTGTTATTTGCTCTAAATTATGGTTAGAAATACACACCACTTTAATTTAGAAAAAGGACTTTGAATAAACCTGTAAATAAAATGTATTTGCCAATAATTGTCCTAACAGTACTGAGCGTACCTTACCTGTAAAAACTGATATTACCTGTATACTGATATAGCTAGTTAGCTTGATGACGGAGGTTCAGTAATCGATTAGCAGTCTTGAAGGTTCAATAGATCCTTAACCATCTAAAATATTAGTTTAAAAAATGAGAGTGTAGAAAAGAAAACGTCTTATTTAAGTCGATCAAATTGCAAATCAAAACTTTTTTAAATCCATCAAAAACTATTTTTTCCATTTTCAATTTCGACATTTTAGACCTTGAACATTTAAAATACAGCTTAGATTCAAAAGTGCAGCATTCACTGCAATTAATACAGCTGAAATGTAATTATAAAGTAAAGTAATTATTGCAGTACATTCAAAATTCAAAAGTTGTGTATGATTGCTGAAACCTAACTGCGCCATACACAATTGTTTGTAGTGTTGGGTGTAATACAGCTGAAATATTATTAAAATTAAAAATATATAAAAATTAATAAAAAAGTAGTCACAGCAACATATCCAAAATCCAAAAGCTGTGCATCATTGCTGACACCTTGGTGCACCATTCACAGCTGTTTTTAATGTTGTAAATAATGCAGCTGAAATATTATTGAAATTCAAAATACATAAAATTAATAAAAAGTAGTTACAGAAATATATCCAAAACTCAAAGGCTGTGCATCATTGCTGACACCTCACTGCACCATACACAGCTGTTTTTAATGTTGTATATAATTTAGCTGAAATATTATTGAAATTCAAAATACACAAAAATTAATAAAAGGTAGTTACAGCAATATTTCAAAAATCCAAAGGCTGTGCATCATTGTTGACACCTCGCTGTCATGAATATGTAAGTCTTTACTGACTACCGTTGTCCGATCAAATGTTATTAGCGCCGAAAAGACGAATATCGAAAATAAAACTAACTTTACCGTGGTCACCTCTACTCCAGTGTTTACGAAGTGGGCTCGTTGCCACAGCTTTATACACAGAGAGTGTTACTTAGCGGGTTCAGCCGAGATAAAAAAAAATCCTCAGATATTGCATTCTTGGGTATTAGTAAATTTTGTGGTTCAAAAGACAGTCACCCTCCCTGTATTTCCCCCTGGTTATTACATGAGGCAGACAGAACCTAAAACCGTAGTTTAGTGGTAAAAGAGTTGAACTGAACTGAAGCCTTAGCTTGTCAGATCAGTTTGTAACCATTTAAATGCTTATTAACTTTTAGAGCTGTAGTGAATCGTCTTAGTACATCCAGCATTTATCAGTTGAAGAACTTAAGTCTGACAGGTGCTGTTCTTCCCTTTTTGGGATCCCTGTGATTTAAAATAAAAGTAGCTTGTAGGTTAGAGTATCAGCAAAGCAGGCCAAAAGAACAGAATGAAGTTATCACCAAAAGAACAGAAGTTATTCCAAAGATATTAGTAACTCTATATGAATGACTAAAGTGGAACCGAGTAAAAATTAAATCCTTTTCTTCACAAATATACTTTCATATTTCATTCATTCACAAACACACACACACACACACACATACATACATATATATATATATATATAAACAATTCTGCACATTCTAATGCACAATTACTGTTTATCTGCTGTTTAACTTATTGGGGGAAAAAATTTAATTATGGCTTGTGCAAAATTTAGGACATTTTATATTTTATGTTTTCTGTTTTCCAACATGCTAAACTCAGCAAATGAATAGAAGTTATGCACTAA